TTTGACTTTACTCCAAGGGATTACGGTAATTTACCTTTAAATGTTTGAATTAAGTTGAAAAAACACACACACACACACAACAAATGAATAGATTGATCAACAACTATTATTTACCTCATTAAATTAATTAACTTTTTTATTCACCTTATTATGTGTGAAGTAAAAAAGTTTTCTCCATGGAAGAGTAAAGTAGAAATTCTTGGCACACACTAGACGCAAGTTAAAAGAGATATTTGTTTATCAATATGCAAGTGAGGGAATAATTTGGCCAGCTTTAGATTATATTTATTAATAAATTGATTTATATTTATAATTAATTTGGACATTTAAATATATTTGGTGTTGTTCCTAATTTACTCGTATAAAAAAAAAATTAACCTCAAAACACGTTTTATGTAAATTTTTAGATTTGCCTGACAATTACACTCTGACACTTTCGTAAAAAAATTGTGGGTATAAATGACGTGTATTTATAGTCGAGACTTAGAAAATTCGTATTTTGTCCATATTCTGTGGGACAATTGTAATTATTTAATTATATTTCTTTTTATATCGGGATATATAAATCATACCTTTTGAGTATAGAAAATATTGATTCTAATTTAATGGAAATATATTTAAGAAAAATCACAAGAAATTTCCAAAAAGAGATAAAATTGGAAAATAAAGAGTGATTGAAAATATAAAATATAAGGATAAATTACAACCACCCCTTGAGCTATGGTTAAATTACGAAAAAAACCGTTCTATTTGCACAATTATACCTATCCCCTCAAATATGAATTTTCTTACACATCCACTCTTATGGTGTCAAATTCACCGTAATCATCTAGATTCCGTGGAATATTCTCTAGTCTGTACTCGTTTTGTGCAAAAATACAGTTTCTGATGCACAACAATCTGATATTTACAAGCCAAAAAAACATATCTTATGATCATTTTGCTTCAAAATGTGGTGCTCGAATGGGATAAAACAGGTTCAAAATTGAGAATATTACATATAATCTAGAAGATTCTACTAAATTTGAAACCGCAAGAGTGAACGTGCATGAAGATTTATAGTTGAGGGAGATGGTTGTAATTACCCAAACAATAGGAGGTTTTCCGTAATTTGACCATACCTCAGGGGTGGTCGTAATTTACCCTAATATAATAATCAAATTCAAGGGGAGGGTTATAATGGTCAATACACATTTACAACGAATCTCTCTGGAAATACCGCCACCATCCATTTCAAAAAAATTCAAAAAACTCAAACCCTTTTCTCTCTCTCTCTCTCTCATCTTTCTCTCACTACAAACGCTCCAAATTGCTTTCATTTTCTCTCTCTAGCCGGATCTCCATATCCGTTACCACCAGTCAACCTGCAAATTTCATCAAAATTACCAATGCACTCTACAATGGAGAAGTGGGCATAATACTTCTTGGTTCAATTTCATTCTCCAAAAGAGAGGAAGAACACTGTGCCCCCTTTTTCAATATTAGGGTTTACCAGAAAGAATTTCCCCCCAATTCCCCTGTATGTAATCACTAATCAGTGATTCATCACTCCCAATCATCTCTTTTTCGTTCACTGTTGTTTGCTGATCGCTGCGATTCAAAGCAACGGTACTATTTTTTTGTGGCTTTGCTTTCATTGCAATAAACCTCCGGTCCCACTAACAAAGTTTGAAATCGTCTCCTCTCTCTCTCTCATACTTCTCACTCTCTCTCTTCAGCCCACATTCACCGCTCTTCATTCGTATGGCTTCCAAGAACCAGAACAAGGCTCCTTCGAGTCCACAAGTGAGTTCTCCCTTTACAAATTTAACCCTCTTTACTTTCGATTTTAATTCTCGAAATTTGTGGGGGTTTCTCTCTCTGGCACTCAGTATTTTGACATTTTTTTTAATATCAGTATTTTGACATTTGGTGCCTTTGATTTGTGTATATATTGAGTTGTTAAAATTAGGGTTGTGCATTTTACTATATCTGTATTTTATTTCTGAAGTTTAGAGTAAATTTTCATGGTCTGTTGTCTGAAGTTCCGGGAGTTCTAATTTTAAAAATCTTCATGGGGAAGAGTTATTGTTGGGTCATAAAATTTATGATATTTCTTTTATGATTTATTTTTTTTGGTGTTTCTGGTTTCTACAGAGCAAGTACAGCGTTGATGAGGTTTCTGTAGATAAAAGAAGGAGGATTGGAAACGCAAAGATGCCACCCTACGGTGGCACAAGGATGCAGACACGTCAAGCATTTTCCGTCGTAAATGGGGGCCAAGATCTGCCCCCTACTACTGCACCACCAAGCCATTCTGGTTCTGAAGGTGGCATAGTTGAGTTCAGTAAAGAGGATATCGATGCATTACTCAATGAGAAGTTGAGAATTAAGAACAAGTTTAACTTTAAGGTATGTTAGACTGGGCGATTTTTAGTTTCAGCTGAAATAATTAGTTCCACAGCTTTCAGCTTTTGGATTTTATATGACATTACGTTTTCTTTTTGTTGGGATGTTTGATGTTTCTGCAGGATAAAAGTGAGCTAATGGGGGATTACATAAAAAGGCTTAAGCAATGTATTAAGTGGTTTCAACAGCTTGAAGGAAATTATGTTTCAGAGCAGGAGAAACTAAAGAATTTATTAGACGCGGTGGAAAAGAAATGCAATGATATGGGTAAATTAGCTCTTTATTTATTTTGGGAAAATTTGTTTTTGCTTCAAAATGTTCTAATTATTAGTACACAATATTTATGGTTCTTTCAAATCTGATATTTTTGTTAATGCTCTTTCAGAGTCGATGATGAAGGCTAAGGAAGATGAGTTGAATTCAATTATTATGGAGTTGAGGAAACATTTGGAGGCATTGCAAGAAAAGTTTGCAAAGGAGGAAGCGGATAAATTGGTATAAGGCCGACTAATATTCATTGAGTGCTGCCTTTTGGATTTCTGTTATTTCTGTTTTCTTTCACTTAACTGTCCAATAAATTAATAGGAAGCATTGGATTCTTTGGGTAGAGAGAAAGACTCTAGACTTGAAGCGGAGAGATTGCAAGCTTCCCTATCAGAAGAGCTGAAGCGAACTCAACAAGACAATGCCACTGCCAATCAAAAGGTATGTAATGAATGCATTATTAATTGGTAACATTTTTCTTGATGAAATTCAATCAATAGCTTTGGTGAAAGTTGTCATATGGGGACTGTCTTTCTTTTGCAGATACAGTCTTTTAATGATATGCACAAGCGTTCACAGGAGTACACCATAAGTTTGCAGCAGTACAATAGCAGACTTCAATCAGAACTTCATGCGACAAATGACACACTTAAGCGAGTTGAGAAAGAAAAGGCAGCTGTGGTGGAAAACTTAAGCACTTTGAGGGGGCACTATACTTCTCTGCAGGAACAGCTTACTTCATCACGAGTAAGTGAATTGTAGATTTTATTACTTTCCAAAGGTCTCTTCTTTTTATCCTATATGGCGTAGTAAGTAACTTTGCATGTTCCAAATATGGGTTGAAGTGGTTGCTTTTATATAAGTATGGTTTCACATATTAACAGTTCATTTTTGAATGAGCTTCAACGAATTTCGATACAAGTCCAATTTAAATAGCTCGGTATTCTTTATATTTCATCATTTCTTGACCATGAGTTTAGCTTGAGCTTGAAAATCATCGAACTCTAAATTTTCTTCGAACCTTGTTTATTAGATTTTTAGTGGAATTATTTCTCTCCAGCCCAAGTTCCAAACAAGAGGAATATACATTTTCCCTGCATTTATATGATTTTCCTGTTGTATTTTTTCCATTTGTACATTTGGATCTAGTTCTTATTTTACCAGGAGTTTTGTCTGAAGCTTGTTTTGCGTTTCTAGTTAGTCATGTTCTCCAATCATTATCTAAATATGTCAAATTGAATGTGATGTTGAGGAATTGTAAGTTGTAACTCGAGATACTGTTGAGTGTTAACACTTATATCACATCAAATTCATATATGATGTTGCCTATATAAATTGAGCAACAAAAGTAAGTTATTTCTGCTTGCTTTATGGCTTATTACCATCCATGTCTTATTCATCTTCTTAGAGTATGTGGACTGTCAATTCTTATTTAGCTTCTACTTCTGTCAATTTTTATTTAGCTTCTACCTCTTCTGTCTATTCATGCATATGCCTGTTCATCCTTGATCTTAAAAGGAAACACAAGCTGAGGTGATCAAGCAGAAGGAAGCTCTAGGTAGTGAAGTTACATGCTTGAGAGGTGATTTACAACAAGTAAGAGATGATCGTGATCGACGATTGTTACAAGTCCAGGCTTTGTCAGATGAAGTAGAAAAATACAAGGAATGTACTGGAAAATCCATCGCAGAGTTAGAAAGCCTGACTTCTAAAACAAATAACCTGGAGGTTTGTTTCTCAAATTCATGTTTCAAATAAATGGTTTCTAATATAGTATATAACAGCTTCCATTTCTTTGTGCCAGTCAACATGCTCGTCCCAAAGTGAGCAAATAAGACGATTGCAGGAGCAGCTTGCCTTTGCAGAACAGAAATTACAGGTTAACTTTCTTTCTACTGGAATTTCATTTCTGTATTTTCAACTTGAGTACTATTATTCAATTTAGTGCAAAATTTTTCTTCTTACCTTTTCGTTTGTTTCTCCTTTTTAGAAGTCCAATATATCAATAATGACAACAAGATCTGAATTTGAGGAGCAACAGGCAATGATTCGTGAATTAAAGAATCGTCTGACTGATGCAGATTCAAAAATTCTAGAAGGAGAGAAACTTCGCAAACAATTGCATAATACCATCCTGGTACCAGTTTTGGAATCAAATATATCTGATTTAAAGTTCAGTTCCAATCCTTGATTCTTTGAAATTATTGTTTTAACATAAAACTCTCATTATTTTCAGGAGTTGAAAGGCAATATCCGTGTATTTTGTAGAGTGAGACCACTGTTGTCTGATGATGGAGTTGGAAATGATGCAAAAGTTGTTTCATTCCCAACATCAATGGAAATGCTGGGCCGAGGCATTGATTTAGCACAAAATGGTGAGTTCTTTTGCTTAAAGTGTAAAAGTACTACTACTTTTTTTTTTTTTCGATAATTTCTCCCAATTTATTAGTTTTACTTTTTCTTTTTCCGAAGGGCAAAAGCACTCTTTCACGTACGACAAAGTGTTTATGCCCGACGACTCTCAACAAGATGTGTTTGTGTAGATGCTCGCAGCTTGTTCAGAGTGCTCTGGATGGCTACAA